TTTTAGTTTACATTTTGCTACAAACAATTTGCTTGCATTGTTTCCCTTCTTGAGCTCCTTGGCCACAAGGGAGTGAGCGATGATGCAGCTGTAGTGAGTGATGTTTGGAAGCATGGTTGGCTGATTCCTCAGGAGCTAGCAGGAGTATCTGGCAGTTGTGGGCTGTGTTGTTTGCTCTGGTTTTGAATTTGCTCTGTATTGCAAGCCTTACTTCAACAATATATATACTTCCTAGTGAGGAACAAACAAGACTTCCTTCGTGGAAATGCACAAACCTATTGAGAGAATATTCGTGATTCCCTCTTAGGTCAAGTTGACTCGTCATGTCTATTCATTCTCTCATTAGTCAATAAAAGAAACGCCGAGCAGTCAGCAGCGTTCATTCTCTTATAGAGAATGAACAAACACGACGGGTCAAGTTGACCTAAGCGGAATCACGAATATTCCCTCAATACTCCCTGAGCTCGCAATACTTCGTTTCTTCACGCCCAGAGCTTGTACATGTTGCAACACTGCTGGTGGAAGTGCCTTCGTGAATATATCTGCCACCATCTCCGTGGTAGCACAGTAGACGAGTTCCACTTTCTTCACCGCTACCTGTTCACGAATAAAATGAAACAGAACCTGGATGTGTTTTGTCCTACGATGAAATCTTGGATTCTTCGTCAAGGCAATAGCTCCTTGATTGTCGCAATGCAGAACCGTTGCCTCCCCTTGCTCGTAGCTTAGACTGTTCAGCAGAGTCCTGAGCCAAAGAATTTCCTTGGCTGCTTGGGTCATCCCGATATACTCAGCCTCTGTGCTCGAGAGAGCCACGATTGGCTGCCGCTGGCTGCTCCATGTAACTGCTGCGCTGCCCAGGCTGAAGACGTAGCCAGAAGTTGATTTACGCTGATCAACTTCCCCTGCCCAGTCTGCATCCGAGAATCCCTGCAGCTTGAGTTGAGGCTGCTCTTGTTTTGTGTAGCACAAAACATAATCGGCTGTCCCCTTCAGGTAACGAAACACGCGCTTAACTGCCTGCCAGTGCTGGAAGCCGGGATTTGCCAGGAACCGCAAAACCACTCCCACTGAATAGGCGATGTCTGGCCTGGTACAAACCACGAGGTAGACTAAACTGCCTCCCACGGGATCCTCTCCATCACTGCTTTCGCTGCTTCCGTCTGAGGTGCCATGTCCTTACTGAGGTGCATGCCAACTTCCATTGGCGTTGATGCAGAGTTGACGTCACTAAGCTTGAATTTCTGGAGGAGCTCTTCAATATATTTCTTCTGAGACATTTCTAGTGTGCCCTTCCTCCTGTCTCTGAAGATCTGGATGCCAAGACAGTACTTGACGCTCCCAAGGTCCACCATCTTGAATCTCGAGCTGAGATCTTTCTTCAGTTGATGAATCAGCTTCTTGCTTTTGCTGAGGAGCAAGCAGTCGTCCACATACAAAGACAACAGCACCAGGAGAGCTCCCACTTGCTTAATATACACATTAGTGTCTGCAGAGAGACTCTCGAAGCCAAGGGCAAGAAGAAACGAGTTCATCTTTGCATACCAGGCGATCGCTTCAGGCCGTAGAGGGCCTTCTTGAGCTTGCACACCAAGTGCTCTCGTCCTTTGGCAATAAATCCGGCTGGTTGCTCAATGTAGACTTCCTCCTCCAAGTCACCATTCAGGAACGCCGTCGTTACATCCATGTGCTCGACGTGCATGTCTTCGTGAGCTGCTAAGTTGTAGAGAAGTCGAATTGATGCAAGCTTCACCACTGGTGAAAAGGTCTCATAGAAGTCGACTCCTTCGACTTGTGAGAATCCTCTCGCAACAAATCTGACTTTGTAGCGCGTGTCTCCATCAGGTCCTGTCTTGAGCCGCAAGAGGAACTTGGTCTTAATCACCTTCCTCCCAGGTGGCAGCTCCACAAGATCCCAGGTCTTGTTCTCCATCAATGAGCTATACTCAGCTTGACGAGCAGTGCGCCACTGATCTGCATCAGGTCTGGCAAGAGCATCTTCCATGGTCTTCTGAACAAGTGCATCTCGGCCATGGCTGAAGAGAAGGAGAAGCTGGTTCTCGCCTTGCTCCCCTTCTTCCTCCATGCTAGAGTTGGCAAAATAAAAGACTGGATCGTAAGAGGTCTCAGGAATTGGCACTGATCGGTCTCTAGTAGCCTTGGTTTCTTGCCGAGAAGCCTGCTCAGCTGCTTGTATGTCCAGCTGCTCCAGTCTGAAGCTATGCAATGTCCATTGCCAACAACTCTTGAGAACTCCAGATGAAGCTTGGCCATGGCCCATTCCAGATAAGGACTAAAGAAAAAACAGTTTATGTGAAGAACATCGTTTGGTCCTGCATTGACCCAAGATTCCAAAACCATGTAAATGCTGGAGGCGGGAAAGAGAACGCGTGTCCGCTTTACAAGCCAGTCCAATCCTTTCAAAGTTGGTCATCTTCTTTTTTTCATTTTTTCTTGTTGCTAACGGCGGCAGCTTCGGTTGCAGCAACAAAGGCGAGTTTTCTTGGCAGATCCATCAAGCAGCAGCAGTTAATCACAGCCCCCACAAAAAAGTTAGTATAGTTCTTCTGGCACAGGATAGAAAGGATGAAACTCCTCCCGGCTAGGGGAGTGAACAGAAGCAGGAGAAGACATCATTTCTGACTAGCATCACCGATGCGCTGGATTTCTCTCAGGCAAGGTCGGAGAGGGACGCTGATTTGATCGATAAGGCTTGTCAGGCTACATAGTCAGGCAAGAAAATGTCCCGAGAGCAAGTACCACGTCTTTGAGAAAAAACATCCAACTTGTCCAAATTTCTCATCTCTCTCTTCTTGACTTTTGCAGTACGCAGCTCTGAAACGGAAGATCGGTGGCTCCTACAAGGATTTCTTCAAAGAACCAATCAATGATATTTACAATTCTCTTTCTTCTTTTGAGTGTTTTTTTCTCCTCTGCTCTTCTCTTTTTCGTCCTCATTTTTCTCAATGCCAAGATGTTGGGTGATCAATCAGTGAAGGGTGCATACATTGAAACTGGATGGGTGGACAAGCGATGCAAAGTTTGTGGCAAAGACACTTTGAAAGAGCCACGCTCCAAAGATAAGCTCGGGAGGTACACTCACGTACCTCCCTAATGGGCTGGCACTCGCCCGTTAACTCGATTTAGCCATTGGCAGCCGTTGGATTGAGTTAGGTTCTCTAATTTCGTGTGTGACGCTCGAGGAACTATCATAATCCAACCATTAATTTTCTAGCCTTTCAATGATACAATTGATCAATATGACAATGTATCAATTCACATGGACCATGTGGAAGGATAGTAATTTATACAATGGTTCCAAACCATGTAAAATAGTTTGGCAAGCTGAGGAAGTTGGTGTACCTCCACAACTGATCTTGGAGGGTGGAAGTGGAAATAGAAAGATCTTACATGAAAGTGATCACCTCCCAAAGAGGCGACCAAAGAAACTCGTGGAAGGAGTTCCTGGGACATTTCTGCCCAGAATGCGCAAAGCCGGGCGTTAGCCCGGGGAGGGCAAACGAGTGAGCCTGTGCCCAGGAACGGCCTTAACGGGTTGTGGTGAGACCATTAACAGACACATGAAATAACATTATTCAAGGATGAAAACTTGGCAGGTGGCACCCAGTTCTAGAGAACCTGGCAGTTGTCAGCCACAAGTTAATTTTCCTGGAGAGGAAGCAAACTTTATGGAAGAAACAAGCTGGTATGGACCAATGTTTCTAGTAAACATGAGAATCCAGCCTGGGTATTGGGATAGCCGCAAGAGGTTGACTCTTTTGTTGACAAAGCAGTCCAAATGTTTGATCCATGTTCAACTTTGCCGGATCATCAAGATTCTATCCAGCTTCCAGTCAAATCCTTGAACGAGCATTGCAATACCCATCTGGACAGCATCAAATCCAAGCTTTGCACCAGGACAAACTCTCCTCCCTGTTCCAAACGGAAGTAAGTTGAAACTTTGGCCAAAGACATCAATGTCTGGCAAGTCAATGAAACACTGTGGCTGAAACTCAAGAGGATCTTTCCAAAACCAAGAGGACAAGACTGATCGAGTAGCTACTGATGTAGATTACAGTCCTGTCTGGGAGGGAGTACCCATCGAGCTCAATCAGGCCTCCTTGGACGATCTTGGGAAGAGCTAGCGGAGCCATTGACTAGAGCCTCATTGTTTTCTTGACTATAGCTTTGACGTATGGAAGTTTTGCAATGTCTGACTCGTTCACAAGCTTTTCTTTGTTGACAATTGTATCAATCTAGTTTTGAATTTTTGCGAATTCGGCTAGATGCCGGAGAAACTCGCATTCCAGCAAGAGAGCCAAAGTGTCCACAGCACCCAACAACATATCCTTTGGGATTCATCCAGCATTGAAGAACAACTTTGACCAAGAGAAACTTACAAGCAAAAGTTGGATTTTGGTGGTGTCTGGGAGTTTCTCTCCCATGGAGATGAGCACGTCGATGAAAGCCATGGGCTCCTCGCTGGTGAAAACCGGAGGATCCCCTCGCCGGTCTCGTAAGATCGACAAGTGGTGCCTGTTTACCCGGTTCATCAGCTGCTTGCACTTCTTCTCCAAGCCTTGGACGTCCAGCCAGCGAATTCCAGGGATGTAATCTCTCACATTGAAGATCCCGGCCAGCCTAACCGTCTCCGCGATCGCTTGCACGAACTCGTCGACATTCGCAGTGTTTTTGTAGTGTCCACAGAAGCGCTTCCCAAATAGCATGTAAATTATCACGTTCATGTTCATGTCGTGGATCTTTTGCAGCAGGAGGACCGGATTCCCTCGCTCGTCACTGAGAGATCAAGCAAGACGGTGCTGCTCCTCACGACGGATTCCATCATAAGCTTTGAGCTTGGTCGGCGAGAGCAAGTGAGTGTTGATGAGCTTCCTGTAGAGTTTCACTTCCGGAGTCTATTGGCTGAAAACTAGACCATTGTAGTCGTTGCCAAAGTATTTCCCGCAGATCAGTGGAGCTTTGGAGGCAAACTCGAGGCCATGGCGATTGAAAATCTCTTTGGCAGCTCTCTCGGAGATGATTATGACTGTGGGCACGCTGCCGAGCTTCAAGTGCATCACATCGCCATATCTCTTGGAGAGTTTGTGAAGTGAGATGTGAGGGAGCGAGCCGAGCTTGTGGAGACAGCCAATGACTGGCAAGTTGAGTGGTCCTGGAGGGAGATTTCCTGGAGGATTTCTTCTTCTAGTAGAAGAGAACCAGAGAGCTGCAGCAAGCAGCACTAAGGCACTCAAAATTGGGTGGGAGAGAAGATCCATGAATGGAAGGACACAGAGTAGTACACTAAATGGGAATGGAGGTCTTGCTTTCAAAACACACTTGCTTGACCTTGTCTCACAGTAACCATCTGGAGGGAGCGAGAGGGATTTTTTATCTCTATGCCAATGCGTTGTCTTAGAAGTCGCGTCTGAGTGAAGGTTTTACAGGAAGGTATCGAAGGTTTAATGCCCGAGAGAATTCTTATGGCTTAAAGCGTAAGGCTAGCAGCAAATGCCCAGTGGTGGCATATGCACTATGTCTTACATCGGAACAAAACTCTTGTGAGAGCACCCCCAAGCCGTGCTATTAGTTAAATCATGTCCCTAGAGAAGGCTTGAACCATGCCGGTGTGATTCCATAACAAATAAATATTAGAAATGTAAGAAAACGTTGTTCTTATATAATAGTTTGTTTTTTCCGGGTTAGGGTTTATGGTGGAGAGGCGCCCGAAGAGAATGTAGATATCGCGTTCAAGGCGATCGGTGGAGGCGTATCACTCCTGTCGCCTGGCGCGAAGGCTAGTTCTGATTATCATCCAGCGCGGGCGCTTTCAGTGTCCAATCGCTTCGGCTTGACGTTCTTCGCCAAGCCAGCAGGTACGATCCATGATTCTCCTGGCCAAATCGAAATATTTCCACTGTAGGTTTTGGAGTCGTGAGGACGGTGGACGTTTTGGAGCTCTCGAGCGGACCCAAGCCTGCTTCTGCGAGTGAGAAATGCTTGGCGAGCGTGGAACTGGACAAAAGTCTCGATTGTGGAGCTTTCAAAGGACGAGCTCACGCTTGCTGTGTGTGCCGGCTTCGCTGTTCGATTCTACGGAGTCCTTTCTTTGGCGCTCAAGGTTCGTCTACGTTGTCAATTTATTGTAGATTGTTCTTTGATTTTCTTTCTAGACCGACACTAGACCGTTCGAGATCCGCGACATCGGCAACGATGCTTTGATCAAGGATTTTCAGTGGTGTAGTTTAGACCAAGACAAAAACAAATACCTTGTCTTGACTTCCACAGGAAAGCTTCTCGTCGGAAAAATCGGAGAAGAGCCTACATCCATGAAGGAAAATGTTTCTGCTGGTGCGTAGATTTATGATTTATCATCGTTCTTGTTATTGCATTTCACTTATTCCATTTTCAGCTTGTTGGAGTCAGTTTGGCAAGCAGATCATGTATGCTACAAGCATGAAGTTAACGATTGCGTCATCTGATTTTGCCAAGAGTTTTATCATAAATTTCCCAGTAGAATTTCCTGGGTGCGAGGAAGGACTGGAAACTCATGGTACGTGTCTTTATTGAAAACTCGCATGCTGCTAATGATTTTAAGCTTGTTCTAGTTGATGCTTTACGCTGGATTTCGCCACAAAACATAGTAATTAGCTACGTCCAGTCGGAGGACGATGAAGAAATTGCCTGTCCGCTGCTTGTGCTTTCAGCGTCTGGTAGGCAACAACTAGTTGAGGTTATTATTTCAATTAGCGAGGTAAGAATACTGACACGTTTGTGTTGGCGTTTTCCAGGCGTGCACGGAGTGTTCTGCTTTAGCGGTTACTCGAAGATTTCCTGCGATTGAAGCTAGTATTATTCCACCCATGAACAGTCCGTATATGCTTGTGCAGAATCTAGAACCATGGTATGATTTATATTCTCGGCTTCGTGTTTTAAAGTCTTTTTCCAGGAAAATCGTGTTCACAACTTGTAGAAGGTCCATCGACGCACATGTTGGCCTTCTAGGCTGGCGGTCCGAAGGTGTTTGCAGTCTTGATTTGTCAGATGATTTGTGGAGAGCTGACATCCCCATGTTTGGTAAGTAGACATGTTTTTTAAGTAAACAGTTCTTATACTGTATATCTTTGTAGATTCTTCGAGTGACAATGCCTTAACTGGGCTGGCGATAGATCAAACATCATTGTTAAAACAGCCTGATCCAAGAAATCCATAAAAACTTCTTCCCCCAAGTCCGGTAATGTTATGCACGTCACTTGACTCACGACTTCTGCTATACTCGGTCCTGAGGTGATTGCGAATGATTATTGTTTTTTTGTCATTTTTTATAGTTTATTTTTCAGGTTGGATGGTGAGAGTTGGTATAGCCCTGGCCTAATCAGGATTCCATCTAGTCTTGAGGAGTGGGCATCGAAGTCTCCTGATCCTAAGGTTTGTGGCCTATTTTTGTGAATGAATGGGTAAAGGTCGATTTATGTTTTAGGTGGATGCCGAAGAAAATACTGTAACACCAAATCTTGTACGTGTGGAGTCCAATGTTACCACCATGAATGGCATTCAGCCAAGGGTGTTTTCTGCATCAAAGACTGTGAACGAGCAGTTGCGTAAAGCTCAGGTGAATTTTAATCAAAAGGAGAAAGAGCCGCCTTTACCTCAAGATGGAGCATCACAAATTCCTGTAGAGAGACAGCCATTTTTTAAAAAGGAAGACGCTCCGTCTCATGAGGTTGAGAAACGTTCTTCACGATCACAAGGAGTTTCTGAAATGGAAGCAGGCTTTCTGGCAGAAATGGACAAGGTACTTGAACTTTTGGCTTTTATACTTCAAAGTTTGTTTCTGCAGGTGAAGAAAATCGATGATGATATTGATGGATTTATGCATATTATCGAGAAAGGTTCTTTTGGATCCGGTTTAACAAGGTCTGGGGTGGACAAGCTGGAAAACGAAATTGTAGCCATTTCAGCGCGATGCCGTAGTTTTAAGGTAACCTTCCAGGAAATGTTCGGTGTGATGGTTACATTCTTTAAAATCCAGCAAAAACTGCAAGAGAACTGTCAGTTTGTTGAGGAGCTTCGGGATCAAAGCCTTGATGGTATTACTGTCCTTATTACGACTAACAATTTGAGCTGGAAATTTAGTTGACGCATGGAGAATTTACGTGGAAAGCCGAGTGGAACAAGCAACTGATAGGCGGTACCAGGACCTCTGGGTTCATCGCAAGCTTCACCCGGAAATGGATATCAAGCGAAAGCATGTTATCAATGCAGATGAGGTTTATACTACTCGTCCCTATGCATCTGACTAACCATGGTATATATAGAGATTGAAAAGACAAATTTCTGATCTCGAGTCTCATCTTCATACTCAAAATATGTCTTCGAAAGAACGGTCTACTGGGGTATAAATGGTTTTTTCAAGTAATTTTGATCTAATTTTTTGTATGTGGCACAGAGACTTCCAATCTATTCAAAGTCTTTACAGCACAGTCAACTCTCAGATGGAAGCAGCTGATAAGCTATGTGTACATCTCGCGGACTTGATGGAATCGATGAATATATCGTCAAATGTTACTTCCCTAAGGCCCCGGAAAATGCAATCGTATTTATTACAGACCAAGCCACCGCAGACTAAAGCCGAGAGTGTTTTCTCCACGCCATGCAAGTCTATCTTGTGTGATGGCTTTGCGCCGGCGGAAAGCACAAGAAGGCGAAGAGATTCCTTAGATAGCGTAAGTATTGTTGCGTTTCTTGCGTTTCCTATTCTTTTGCTCCGTTCACTTCACAGGGTATTGGAGCAACGAAAACCACGATCAAAAGGATGGTTGGGCATACACATGTGGTCAATAACCGGAAGGCTAAACTGCTTGAATCAACCTCCAGTAGTTTCCAGCCGCAGTCAACTTTGAAGCAGCCAAGTGTTACAGAAGTGACGACTCTCATATTAGCACCTGCAGCGACATCTTTGGGTACGACGAGGCCTTCGTTTTCTTCTAGGACTTCACAGAATTCTCCGCCTCTTCTTGGTGACTGGGGTTTAAGATCGCCGCCGCCGTCCTCTAATGCTTCAGCACTCAAGGTTCCTGACATCTCAAGAACTTCTGGCAATGGTATTCGTTTCGTTACCGCCCCGGCCACAGTCACGTCAAGCATCACCACTCAAGCGACACCATCATCAACGTGGCTACCATCGTTGGAGTTGAAGGCTACACCGTTCACTTCATCGTCGACGTTGAAGGCTGCACCGGCTGTTGCGTCTTCCAGACCTTCGGAAGTGGAAACTACAGCTTCCACAGTGCAGGCTACACCAGCAACTTCCACATCTTCGGAGCTGAAAGGTACACCAGTCACCACATCTTTTACATCTTCAGATCTGAAAGCTACACCTATCACCTCAATTCCCACGTGAAGTGTTTTTACAAGATTAGGCGCTCTGTCTCCATTATTCCAGCAGTTGGAGCCGAAGCCCTCAAACAGTGAACGAGCGCAGTCACATATAGCAGCGACATGTAGCGTCTCCAGCGGTTCCTCCCAGTCGCTTGTAAGCTCGTCGACCTCGGCTACTCTTCTACCTGCAGCTCCACGTACTACATCAGAAGTGAAGCCAGCAGCTTTCAGCTTCCCGCCATTAGCGTCTCCCGCTATTGCATTATTGTTTGTATCGTCCTCAGCTGCTACGTCCACACTGACAACAAAAGTTTCTTCCAGCGGTTACACCAGCTCGCCGGCACAATCTACTAGTCAGCTGGTTACTTCACGTTTTCCGGCTTTGCTTCAATCTCAGCAGCAGCAGCAGACTACTCAAGCCGTGCGGCCGCCACCAGAGGAAGAGGAAGATGACATGGACGAGGAGGCCCCCTCGACTGCACTCTCGGGCTTTGGGAATCTCGGCCTGGGCTCGGCCTTGCCTTCTGCGCCAGCGGCGAATCCTTTTGGCGTAACGCAGAGCCCGCAGGCCACCTCGTTCGGAGCATTGAGTGCACCACCACCTGGTCAGCTGTTCAGGCCGGCTGCATTTTCCTTGAGCTCTCCGGGAACAGGTTTTACGACCGCGCCAGAAGGTGGTGCGTTCTCCAAGCCCGCCGCGCCTGCTAGTGGATTTGGTCAGGCTCCTTCGAGCGGCTTCGGACAGCCTGTTGGGAGCGCGCTGGGTAGTGCACTGGGTGCATTCGGACAGACGAGACAAGTTGGATTTGGTGGTCCAGTGTCAGGTGCAGCTGGTTTCGCAAATGCTTCGCCGGGCGGTGGTTTTGCTCCTGCGGCAACCGGCGGTGGTTTTGCCAGTGCTACGTCGACTGCTGGTTTTGCGGCCGCGGCATCCGGTGGTGGTTTCGCAGGAGCGGTGCAGCAACAGGTAAAAGTTTTTATTGTTTGTTTCTTGGAAGCAATCAACTAAATGGGCGTGACAGGTGGTGGATTTCAAGCGCTTGGCCACAGCGGAAGCTTTGGTGGCTTTGGATTTGGCTCTGTACAACCGCCTGGTGGATTTCTCCCGGGTGCTGCACAACCGCCGAATAATCCACTTTTCACCGCCATGAGAAAGTGATGCAAGGTTTGGGTGTTAAGTTTTGCTTTTCGATCGGAAGTAAGAATCTTTGATCTTGACAGGGTTGTAGCTTTTTTTCTTACGAGCATTCGTTGGAGATTTTCCAGCTGACACGAGGTATATTCCTTTTGTGTCTTCCATAACCCACACGAGGCAGTCGAAAGAGGTTCCCGTTTGTTTCTTTTCTCCTCTCTAGTCGCCTGAAGAAATGTGCTAGCGATTTTTTTTAAGCATGCAGGAAATGGTATTTGTGTGATCCATAAATTTTGGCTGCAAGTTCATCGTTCGAGATGAGCTCGGAGCGGAGGGAGGAGCGTGCTGCTGCATCGGATTCACAGCCAGTGTCAGCCGAGTACATTCTTCAAGTAAGAATTCCGCGACTCCCCATGCGTGTAATTTGCCTCGGCTCTTCCTTCCTGCAGGTACAAAGTTTGATAGAGCAGTGTCTATTGCTCAACATGAACTGCGACGAATGCGTAGCCGCGTTGTCCACGCACTCCAACGTGAAGCCCGTTGTCACACTCACAGGCAAGCAAAGAAATTTCGTCTTTTACTAGTAGTTGCTCAATTAAATTCGTTTCCAATCGTCGTATCGCCGACTTAAAGAAAGTGTTCTGTGATCCCTGCAGTGTGGAACGAGCTCAAGAAAGAGAATGAGAGCTTCTTCACGGCGTACGAGAAGCACCAAGAGACCGGCAAGCACTGCCGAGCTCTGATGGAGGAGAGGAGGAAGCTGCTTGCGATTGCAAAGCCAAACACTGGTGGATGATGACGAGCAAGCGAACAAAACAACAAAAGGGCTCTTGAAACGTAGCGGAGGAGAAGGAAGGAATGCGTTATATGTACAACGCTGGAGAAGGAAGCTCTTGTCCCTCTCACACAACACATAAGGTTTGTCGAAACTCTTGCCTTGTCTTGGCTTGGCCGTTCTACTTAACTGCGTGGATGTTTGAGTATTTCATTGTCTCGCCAAGGACGAAAAGCCTATCGCTTCATGGCTAGACCCGCTTTGGCCACCACAAATATCTTACCACCACACTCTGCGTTTCTCTTTGTTTTTCTTCTTTTTTCCCTCTCTTTGTTAGCTCGTCTTTCGCTGTGACGCTTGCTTGTACGCGAAGTGTAACAGGCTGGGTTCACTGAATTGTTCACAGGGAAGCCAAAGCTTTTTCGCAGCACTACAAAATAGATCCAGAGAATTCTTCTCGGCCTGTGACTTGGAGGTTCATCTGGGCTTGGGAGTTGATAGTGAAAAGTGTGGAGATTTTAAAAGATAAAAAAATTGAAACAAAAGGAGTTTTGTTTTGTTTCTTTTTGACGCTCACAGAAGATTGTCCTGTATAGAAAGAGGTAATATTTGAGAAAGAAAGGAGTGGTGATCCTCCCATGCTTTGAGTGGTCAGGTTCTGAGCAACTTGTAGGTTGATGCAAATGAGTTGATTGATTGATACACCTCACCCAAAAGAGAGCTTCAACATTTTTCCAGCGACACAAATAACTTTTAATTTGACCGTCTATCTGAGATTTTTTAGCGTTAAAAGGTCTATTTAGTGTTAACATTTACTTTAGCACATATTAAACGAGAGGGCTTGCAAGCTCACGGCCCAGCAAGTGCGGGAGCAAAAGCTGTACAACATGTGGGAGCCTCACGACCTTCCGGACAACTTGTACCAGTGCCCACACT